GAGAGAGAGAGAGAGAGAGAGAGAGAGAGAGAGAGAGAGAGAGAGAGAGAGAGAGAGAGAGAGAGAGAGAGAGAGAGAGAGTACTATCTTGGTCCGTATTTTGCAAAACGAAACAAAAATTACAAAATGTAAAAGAGAGATGAAAAAAAATAAAAAATTTGAAGAGAAATGTGTGTGCACAGTATCTTTCTCCAGGGCAGTGTATCGGGAAGACTGTTGATCTTAGGCATTGTTTCGTGACAAAACACTGTGAGAGAACAAAACAATACAAAATTGAATGAAAAAGAATAAAGCCAAACAAAATCTGCATGCTGCAGGCAAAACAAAGGTGTGGCCATTTTCAGTTTTTTCAACCTTTGACCTGAGAGTCTGTGAGCGGTTGTGTGTAATCTGCTGTTGGCATTTGTGGAATTGTTAGAGCTTGATTTTCCGTCAGGGCTTTGTTTGGCCGAGGCAGAGTGTTGTTGCGCCTCTTTTCCTTTTTTATCTTTTTCTATTTGCGTGCAGGCATTGTCTCCACCGCCTGCACTGCAGAAGCTAAGCTATTCCATGTTGATAGGTGTCAATTTATAAGAGGAGAAGACTTGGAGTGAGGGAATACGGGAGTCTCAGAAGTGATGTGGACAATATTACGGTTTTGTCTCCTCCTCCTCTTCCTCCTCTTCCTCCTCCTCCTCCTCCTCCTCTACTACTACTACTACTACTACTACTACTACTACTACTACTACTACTACTACATCATCATCATCATCATCATCACCTTCTTCCTCTTCTTTGTCTTCTTCTTCTCCTTGTTCTTCATCTCCATCATCATCATCGCCATCATCATTACCTTCTTCCCCCCATCATCCCTCATAGATATAGAGCAGGGAGACATACTTTTGTGCGTGTAATTCCTCCCCGCATCTGATTTTATGTGTGCATCATAGGTCATAAATGCTGTGTGTCCACACGCTTCTGTGAGCGTGGCATGCTTATAAGAGTCTTCCATGCGTATTGTCACACTCTACGCTGACAGGATTTGACCCTTGTTTTTTTGAACCAACTCTGTAAGGGAGGTGGTCATGCATGTATGCAATCTTTTTGGATGGAACCGTCATGACGCACAAACAAACCAAGACTCTGAGGCAAACAGCAAGCACTGTACCTGCAAACGATGGAAGAAACCAGCTGGCAACAAAGTCGTCTCCTTATCCATGCACTCAATGCGGAAGCCAAAACAGCAGCATGCTTCTGTACGAGGCAGCTCCCACCTAAAGTCCCCATCATTCCTTCTGCCCCGAAGGCAAGCTGGTATCATCACGTCATGCATGTCATTCGTCTCGTAGCCGATCTCCATCCTCACCATTAGTTTCACCAAATCCTGGGCGTGAACATGACAGTTCTCTGAGAGAGAGCGCCTCAATATGCTTTCCAGAAGTGTCAGGCTTGCAATACCATTGCGCACTCCTGACTCGTGGAAAGCTGCTGGGATCAACTGCCCCACAACTGTGCAGCAGAACCACTGTGGGTTGACGATCACGAATGGCAGTGGCTCGAAGGAGATAACCTCACCAACATCATGAAGGTAGCGAGCTGCAAGGTTGCTCAATCCTGTTCGCATGCTCAAAACAGCTCGCTGTGATCCAGCTGGGCTATGGAGTTCATTTGAGTCACAAGGCAGATCCTTGGAATCGCCTGAGAGCTTCTCGTCCAAAGGTTCTGTGGAAGAAAATGCAACTTGGTTGCACAGCCTGTCGAAGTCCGCCCTGGAAACAAGTGGTTTATTTTCTGGCAAGCACACAATTGTTGAGAAAATTTGCTCCATGACAAGCATGACTTCGAATTTTTCCAAGATTTGACCTGCTCGACAGAAAAGGTGATCACGCACCTTTCTGGAGTCTTCCCTCGTCTGTGCATCAATAATGAAAACCTTCTCCTCAATGTCCAAAATATTTTTAAATCTCAAGCATGCCCACTCCCGCAGCTCATCAGCTTGATGCTCAAAAGTGCATGATGCCGGGGTCGGATGATGAGGATTAAAGACAAGAGTCACCGAAGGTTTACAGTTTGAGGCAGAGTTTGCAGCAATGAATTTCAGCCAGTATCCCAAGCTTATCTTCAATTCACCGGTTGATCTCCACACAGGTGAGCCATGGTCACACCCTGTGCTTGGACTCACAGGATTACAGACCAGCACAAACATGGGTGGAATTGACATATCGTTGCCAAGAGATGGCATGAAAAGGTCATGAATGGTGTGGTATTCGTGTTGTCCTCCCAAGTCCCACAACTGGATTTTGGTCTCCATACCTTTTTGATACATACGGCGAATCTCAATTCCTCTTGTTCGACAGTCACCAGGAGACTGTATCCAGGCTGATATCCAGGCTGATATCCAGGCTGATATCCAGGCTGATATCCAGGCTGATACTTTGCTGATCACCATTTCCAGTGTGTTCAAACACATAGAGTTCTTGAGCGTTGTCTTACCGACCAAGGGATCACCAGCCAAGAAGCATCTCATGTGACGACCTGAAGTATATTCTGCTGTGCCTGCAGCTTTCAGCACAGATCGCTCCCAATAGTTCCTCTTCAGTTTCTGGTCTATCATTCTTTTGTTCTCCTGTCCAAGAGGAACATCGAGAACCTTGAGAGCCCGATTCTGGTCTAGAATATCAAGTAGATGCGTTATCTGGCTTTCACTAAGGTTGAGGGACAAGACTCGTTCACGAAAGAACAGGTTTCTGTCAACCGTTAAGGTGAGTTCTTCCAAACACCTGTTTTGTTTCAACCCTTCACAAATCATCAGTATCCGCTCATGGAGAAAATCAGATAGCCTCTCAGGGCGAGACCAAAAAGTCTGGAATTGGGGTCCATATATACATACCTTGAGCTTCCTCAGACATCTGTTTGATGCAATCACCTTTGCAAGATGCTGAGCCCAATTTTCTAGCCAAATCCCGTCAACAGAAATCCATAGTTCAGGGTTTTCTATCTCAATACAGTTGAGTAGGCCCAGATCTCTTGAAATGTCCACTATGGTCCCTCCATCAACCCAAAATTCATCTCCAAGTGTAAATGTCAATGGAGCAGCATATTTGAGTCTCATCAACTCAACAAATGCCAGGCTATCAATGCTATATTTCTTCCACAGAAAGAGTGTTGGCAGTGTGCATCCCATAAGCTTCAGAACCATTGGTAATGAATTGCCTAGCCAAGGCCATATGGCCTGAATTGTTGTGTCCGTCTCAAGGTCAATGTCGTTTACAAATGCATTTGTTAATTGCAAATTTGCAGATGTATTAGCTAGTACTTGGCCACAACGAGCTTTGGAGTTGAGATCGAGGGCTTCATTTAGCACTTCTAAAACGTGCCGAGTCACATCAACGGACCAATCACAAGGCACCCACAATACCACCTCTGTTACGAGTCCATCAGACCTAACTAACCGAACAGCAGGTTCATTGTGGCTGTCGAGACAGACTCCCAATGGCTGCCCATAGCGGAGTCCTTTTAGAAGCCCAAAGATTTCTTTCACAAACGAGCTTTGTCGTACGTGTAACGTCAGTTCCACCACACCTGTGTCTGATCCAACGAACTGTTGAAGAGTCTGACTCCAATTATATATTCCTTCACTAGAATTCCAGGACAAACAGAGCTTGTGTAATTGGCTCTTTCCCTGTCTTGACCTTCGAGACGGTGAGGGCTCTCTTGCCTCATCCTGATTTTTCAGTCCCTGCGATGCCGTTGCTGCAAGCTGTTCACCAGTTAAGGGAGTGCTTTGCCCAGGATCCTCTTTCAAGTCACTCGAAACCATCAATCTGTTTGCTAATTCAGTCAGAAACAACGACGGCCCAACTCCTCCAGATAACATATTAAAATGACATACGTCTGAGATTCTGCTCGCTGCCACCGCAGCTGCAAGTTCACCTGCATCTACCCAATCTACATCCCCCAAGTCAACTCGCAAGCAATGCAATGGCGGGCTGTAGTTCAGCAGGTCTACAAGTGGAATAGTTGTATCCCTGTCGCAATCTCGAAGCCATAATGATTTCTTCGAACTTTCCAAATCTTCAAGGGTGCGACAAACCCATTCCATCGCATTAGGTTGACACCATGCAGAAGCAATCTTGTCGAGTCTCTGGTTACTGCAAATGACAAATTCTCGGAACGGCAGAAGGTATGTCCTGTGAAAGAGAAAGATTTTGTTCAAGATGCTCATACCCACAGGAATCATTCTCTTTGCATCTATCAAGCTGGAACCACACGACAGAGATAGTGGACCATCTCCGTCGTGAAACTCGTCGAGTGCAATAGTGAGTCCTGATGCACGATGTAGAGTAAAAGTTCTATGCGCTATCTCTTTGCAGAAACCACTCAGAATGAATGGGTCCAATTCCAGAAGCTTGTCCGGTGGGGGCATAGTACTCGAATCCCCATATATCGACCGCCATGTAGATACAAAGAATGAAGGCGTCCAACGAGCACAGTCCTGCCCGTGAAATGAAACTTTATCAATATTGCCATTTGGAGGAAACCCAAACAAGTATTTTTCATCTTTTGCAGACCTTTGGTCCCAAAATTTGAAGGCGAATATTGGTCCCATAACAGCGTCATTTGCAGATATTGGTCCCATAACAGTGTCATTTGCAGACCTTTTAAACCAAAATGTGTAGGGGGACATTGGTCCCATAACAGCGTCCGTTTTAGAATCTCGGTAGGAAACCGCTTATCCCACACGGGGCTTTCTTGAGGCATACAGACTGTTTGCAGGCCTTCGAAGGTCAGCACTCTTGTGCTGTTTGATGGTGCTGTTGATGCATTGATTCGTAGCAGCCTTAAACAACCAGTACCTCCGAGACTCTTTAATCCAATGCTCAATTTTGCCCGACCCAAAATACCGGGTGCTGTCAGCCTTCTTGTTCCTGTAGCTCAAGCCTTTATGCGGCACCGTGTTAATCGGCCCATGCATGCCGGTAGATGGGCAAGGTTCTGGTCGATTACAGCACACACTTAACTGTCTGTCAACGTGACCTCTTGCCTCTCCAAGTTCTGTTACTGTTGCTCATCTGAATCATCGATACATCTGCGTTACACATGACAATCGCATCCACAATCAACAATTTGTGGTTCGAGGACTGCAAAAGCTTTTGGAAACAGAGAGTGTCTGACTTGCAGAAGAGCTTCCCAGACTCTTGACCATGAGGAGTGGAACATATTCATATTGACACACAAAAAAAGGAGGGAGCCATGGTTGTGAATCCTGCAGACCAACAACCATCAAGCTGAACGAATGAGGAACATTTATGTTTACTGCATTCTACTGGTGAAACAGATGTGGCCATTTTTTCCTTTTTTTCACCCTTGACTAGACCTGCTCAATTTGTTTTTGGTTTCACCCACCCTCGCCCAAACATTTTGTTTTCTGCCTCTGGCCAACCCCACCAGCCCAAAATTGATTTCGAAATTTTGATCCCCCCCCCCCCCCCCCCCCCCCCCCGCCCACCCGAAAACACCATCTCCCAGACCCGCCCACACCAGTGAGAACATCATTGTCCCCCCACACCCGGGACCTAATGATTGAACAAACTCGAAATTTGGAGCAAATCCCGTTACCGGCTGTGGCTAAATCCCACTCCCTCTTCTTTTAAAGGAAGAGGGGGCCCTCCTTTTTTCCTGCGGCTCTTCTTTAGGAGCTTTGTTTTCCTATCTCTCAGGCTCTGTGCAGCAGGACCCAGACTTTTTTGTATTGGGAGGGGGGGGGGGAGCAGAGGGAGGGGGGGAGGTTGCATATTTTCCGACTGGCCCTGGGTCACCCACCAATCGGGTGACCCAGACCAAATCTTCACCCGCCGGTCACCCAGAAACGCTGGCTACTACACTTCCCCTTGGCCCACCCAAGCGGGCTTAGGTAGACCCAGACCAGACCCCATCACCTTGTGGGCCAGGTGGGTGCAGGCAGGTGTGGCTCTGGGCACCCGGTGCCTACCTCTGTGGTGAAACTCTGTTCTACCACCTTAAAGGAAGAGGGGGCCCTCCTTTTTTCCTTCGGCTCTTCTTTAGGAGCTTTGTTTTCCTGTCTCTCAGGCTCTGTGCAGCAGGACCCAGACTTTTTTTTATTGGGAGGGGCGGGGGGAGCAGAGGGAGGGGGGGAGGTCGCATATTTTCCGACTTACCCTGGGTCACCCACCAATCGGGTGACCCAGACCAAATCTTCACCTGCCGGTCACCCACAAACGCTGGCTACTACACTTCCCCTTGGCCCACCCAAGCGGGCTTAGGTAGACCCAGACCAGACCCCATCACCTTGTGGGCCAGGTCGGTGCAGGCAGGTGTGACTCTGGGCACCCGGTGCCTACCTCTGTGGTGAAACTCTGGTCTACCACCTTAGGAGTTGTCCAACTCAATAATGACTAAGCTCTTTCCATTTATCTGTATAATTTACAGATCAAGACAAATCATCTGGTTAAGTGGGACTGCAATCAGACTTGTCTTCTTGACACTCAGCATGTGCACAAACAGATGACGATCACACTGGCGACTCAGCGCCCACACAAAGTTCAGAGATAACGAGGACAAGAACACAGTTCAGATTCAAACTCGTCACGGACGGCTATGGCGCACGTGCGCCAGTCTCAAATACACCCCGATCAACTGTATTCCCGGCAACTTATTCGCACACACACAACTCTCGATCTCCCTGGATGTTCCACACACATAGACACAACACACTTATACGCACACCCACACACACACTAACTACACTAACTAGCAGCTATGGCTGCCGTCTACCTCCATACACCAACCCAAGCGGCTATGGCCGCGTCTTCCTCCTCTTAGCCCACTTCTCCTACGGGCACCTGCAGACCTCCGTAGCACAAGACGCTCACGGCTCACAGGCAGAATGAATGAATGACTTGACGCTGCCAATTTATTTATACTTTGGATGGTCGTAGGTCTGCCCCTTGACCTTGGGCCCGGGGTGCACACAGTCCCACATGGTACTTGCTGACTTGACAAAGTGCACCCGGGACTGGGTACCGCTGACTAGGCTAGGTACGACTAGGACTGCCCTTTGCTGACTGTGCTAGGACTGCCCTCTGCTGACTCAGACGCGGGCTGACTCTAGGACTCTACGAAAGGCCACTTCCGGATCTTCCAGAAGACTGTGGACTTGACCCCTCGGTACTGTAGCAGCTACGACCTTGACCTTTTGACGCTGTGGCAGGTACGACTCCTACCACTGCTAAGACTTCTATTCTACGGACCTACGGCTCAAGACCCGACGACCACGCTATCTACAGCAAGCAAACAGACGACTTTCAAGACAAAGGTCGCGGGTTCAAACACACACGGGTTAACTGGTACTGTACATGGGTGAGGGCGAGGTCTAGGGATCGAGCCCTGGGAACTGCATCTGCTACTGTAAAGGTGAAAACCGTTTCACTCCCGCCGACCTAAATTCGAGGTCCTCCGAGAATACTTCAATGCAAGGCAGGACCTTTACCTTTCCTTTGTTTGTCGTAGGCGTGTACTATGTGGGGAGCGGTCTCTAGAAGCTCTGTTCTTGTAAACCAGCGGTCGTCCTCGTGTTCCTGATAAGCGAATCTGACTTTGTACCTCCGGTTCTGAACACATCCTCTTCCACAATGCGGTCTATATCATATATGCCATCCATGTCTGGCGGAATCATTGACCGACGCGACGGGAATTGCTGACTGGTGACGCAAGGCAGCAACTTTGATGCATGGAAGACTGGGTATGTGTGGAGGTGTGCCGGTATCTCAATGGTGTAAGAAGGTCCATCCTCTCCGCCTTTTACTTCTAGGACAGGCCACAGTCCCCTGTACGCGGGTAACAGCTTTTGTGAGATGTTCTCTTATGGGGCGAACTCCTTAGACTTGACCTAGACTAAATCTCCTACCTGTAACTGCGATGGGCGGCGATGCTTATTAGCTTGTTCTATCATTTTGTGTTGCGCTTCTCTCATATTCTCAATCACTCTTGCAATTTCCCTCTCATGCTGCAGCGCAAACTCTCTAGTTCCGCGTGGCAGTCTCTGTATCTGGTCACAATTAAGTCCTTCAAACGGCCTTCGTGGTCTAAAGGATTTGTGCAACTGCAGGTAGCCAAGTAAACACTATTGTTGTAGGCGCTAGCTACCTTAGGGAGCATCTTATCCCAGTTAATCTGATCAGGCCTAATATACATCCTGAGTATCTGCTGCAGGATCTTATTCATTTGCTCGGTCTGACCGTTGGTCTCTGGATAACGACCAGATGATATCAACAACTTTGAGCCATAGACTCTCATAAGCTCTTGCCAATGCTGACTAGTAAACCGCGTGTCTCTATCACTAAGTATGGACAGAGGAATACCGTGCTCACTTACCTTGGCATCAAAAAACTTCTCTATAACTAACTCTGTGTATGCCTCAGAGGCCAAAAGAACAAAAACTGCATATTTGCTAAAACTGTCTACTATGACCATGACTTGGCTCTTGCCATGCCTACTCCTAACCCCAACATCCATGAAGTCAATGGACACAGACTCTCCGGGTCCTGATGGGATAGGCAAGGGTCTGAGGACACCCAATGGGTCTCTCGTCGTAGTTTTGTTGCACTGGCAGACTTTACAACTGCGGACATACTCTATGCAGTCAGCCTTCATGCCAGGCCATGTGTAGGAACGTGTCAGGTTGGCTAATGTCTTTTGCCAACCGAAATGCCCTTTTCTATCGTGACATTCCCCTAAGATTAGACTGTGGATTTCTTCGCTGTTGGGAATGCATAGCCGATCTACTACGTCTATCTTCTCAAACAAAAATCAATTAGTGGTGCGGTAATCAGGCTCATTGGCTGGGTCCTGCTTGACTCTCTTCAGGAGGTCACTATAGATAGGGTCCGGCGCGTATACATCTATGACTTTTTGCTGTAGGTCTGTCCCTATATCCAAATAGTGAACTACAGCTCCAAAGTAGTCAGCTATTCTACTTAGGGCGTCTGCAACCACATTATACTTCCCTTTGACTGGTTTGAGCTCGAAGTCAAACTGATCTATCTTTGCGGCCCACCTAGTCAGCTTAGGTGTCATCTTGGCCTGCGTCTTCATCCACCTCAATGTCTCCTGGTCTGAATAGACTTTGAAGTGCCTCCCAAGCAAGTAGTGTCTTCAGTGGTCTAATGCTTGCCTTAGAGCATAGAGTTCCCTCTCATAGGTGAATGTCGCTACCTTCTCTGAAGGCAACCTGGCGGACATGAACTCTACGGGCCTATACCCATGACCATCATCTTGCTGTAAGACAACACCAATGCCATACTGACTCGCATCAATGGTAACGACAAAAGGTAAGGACAGATCGACTACCTTGAGGACTGGGTACTCTATCAAGGCCCGCTTCAACTTCTTCAGGGCCAGTGTACAGTCTTGGTCTCACTTCCAGATTGCCTCCTTCTTTAGCAGTCTGCGAAGGCGAGCAGCGATTGCAAAGAAGTTCCTCACGAACTTTCTGTAATAATCAGCCAGTCCTAAGAACGGCCTCAACTTTGTGAGTGTACGAGGAGTTGGCCAGTCTCTGATCGCTGTGATTTTGCTATCCTCAGGTTTTATGTCGTCTCCATCTAGGATGTGGCCCGAGTACAAAACCTCTGTCTTGGCCCACTCGCACTTCTTTGCATTGATCTTGAAGTTTG